TACACAAGCCAGTATCCGTTATCCCTGAAGACGTAGGCACAGGCGAGGCATGAAGCGAAGCAGCACTTTCACCGCCCACATCGTATGGTAGAGGCCAAAATCTTTAAGCCAACACCCTCAAGCTTGAAGTTGGCAAGCCGAAATTTGCGAATCGCTTCCCTTGATTTTCCCGGCCGTAGATGCTGCTGCAGATTGCGTCACCGATCATATATAGGTTTGTCGCAGTCTTTGAATCAGGTATATTATATCGAATAACTTTTTGCAGCATGATGACGGTCCTTGACTAGGGCTAGGGAGCTTCGTCCGACTGGAAGATCCTGCGGAGCTTCGCCTCTCTCTCCCAGTTCCCATCTCTGCGGCAGGAGCTGCGATCACAGATGGTCAGTGACTGAAGTATGGGTCTGTAAGGCATCGCAGGCACTGAAGGAGGTTTGGGGTATTGGGCTCAATTTGAGCTTCAGGATCGACTTTGGGGAGAAGTTCTTAACACAGGCCTTGGCCTCCACAGAAACAGCTTTTTAGATGCCCCAGAACTGCCTTCAACTTTACCCCCGAAACGACGTATTGCGCTCGGCTCTGAGGTGCTCCAGCAGACGGCGCGGAGGGAGAAGGGCACAGGCAGACGAGAATTCTGCTTCGGGAGGAGCTACGTCACAGCTCTCCTGACAGGCGGCGTAGACATCGGCACCGGCGTGGCGAAGAAGGCAGAGCGCTTGAAGTCTCCGCGAGTGACAGAAGTCTGGGAGCGTTGGGAGGTCTGGTCTTGGGCCGCTGGGCCTGGGTGGGTTCGACACTCTGTCCCAACCCCGAGCCTCTGAACTTTCCAGAAAGGAGCAATATGCATAATTCAAGAAAGGTTTTGCACTGCCGGGGTCAGGAGGAACAGTCAGTATTGCCCACAGCTCATTTATACAAACCTACGCCCCAGACTCCATGACATCTCGCTTGGAGCGATAGGTGACGGTGAGGGTCGAAAACGTCGAAGAGCAGAAAGAGCAGAGGCTGCCGGCAGAGTACTGGGCTGCTTGGTTTTCATGTGCCTAGAACCCCAATGCCAAGTCTGAATTCCGTCCTTTGCACTACTGACCTGAGTCCTCTGCTAGACCATGCTTTTGTTGCCTCAAAGCCCCATTCCCAACAACCCTTCTACCTGCTGCACCCTGCAGTGATTGCTAGACATCGAATGTGGGGTTCGAGGGCGATAGCTTTGGCGTTCGTTAGCTTTGCGGCTTCAGGGCTCGAGCGGCTTGAAGATTCAGAGTTCCGGGGCGTTTGTCCTAAAGGGTGTCCAGGAAAGATTCTGGATTTGGGCAGACGGCCCTGTGGACGTCTTGGATCTGTAGCGCATGCAGCAGAAGTGCGAATTTTCAATCGACACTGCTGCGATTGGCTCAAAATCCATCTGAGCAAGGGGCGGGTCGGTCGCCGGCACCGATCAGAATGGTAGTTAAGACAAGACAAAGCGTCCCGGATTTCTGTGACATCGGATTGACAGCTCTCGAGCTCTAGAGCCTAGTACCTTTCTGTTGTAAACCTGGTGAAGCCACACTTCAGAAGCATGTTGCAAGGCCCAAGAGGCGGAAGGGGCGCCGATGGACGCTCCGCCAGGAGACGTTCAGGCACGCGGCCGGCAGGAGAATCGGATGTTGTGGCTTTCTATTGGACTCTGGGGTCACAAATGGGTTCCGGGCCCTCGGGCGCATGCTCAAGGAGTTTGAGACATCGAGAGACACGGCTTTTGTGGAAAGTTTCTGAGTTCCTTCAATTTCTGAGTTCGCGACCTCCAAAGCTATAACTCTTGAGGCAGTCCTGGGCTCTTGCGGCCTGGTATCACCATTTGGTATTACCATTTCTTCAGACCAGTGCTTCGAAGTCAATACACTGCCGAAAAGGCACCTGCAGACGCACCGCCGGGCGACGTGCAGGCCCGAGAAGAGCATTGAACAACGCCTCCTGAACAGGCAAGTGGCTGAGTAGATTTCAGGGATTTCGTGCCGAGACTGCCGAGACTCCTTGGAGGCAGTCTGAGCCGCAGCAGTTCGGGGCTCCATGTCTTGATCTGCGAACTTGGGATACTTTGGTTTCATGACTGGTCCAAGTCCAATGCGCTTCGACTTCATGCTTCTGCAGGTTTGAGGCGAGAACATGTTGTCGTCTCTCGCACGCTGAGGTACTAGCTCTTTCTCTCGCGCATCCTTTTTTTTGCAGAATCTCCGCTTTTGAAGTTGGGAAGTAGCTTTCAGTCGGATGCAGAAGGGTTAGGATAGAAGCAGATGGGCGGTGCATCCGTCTAAGTATTCCGGGTTTAGGAGTGAAAGCTGTAAGTGTTCCAGAGCCGACGCAGCTTGAAACCCTCAAGCTTAAACCCTAGGATAGTTCAACATTCGTAAAGTCCGCAGTCATCAAACTTCTGCTTTGGATATCTTTCCCAGATGTAAGGTGAAGATGCACAACCACGTGACTGCGACTCATATCCAGTTTTTCTTTCTCATCGAAACGAAGTTAAGTGCATTACTTCAACAAGACTACGCCAGCGCAGACCCTCGAAGAACAGCACGACCATGACGACGATGACGACAACGACCACTAAGACCACCAGAACCTCCAAGACGACCACTATGGCCAGGACGACCAAGACAAACAACTGACCGGCAAAACAACACCAGGAGACCCCAGAGACCAGGAGGATACTCCGAGACCACCAAAAGACCACCAAACTGCTTTCCTCCAGGTCTTTACCGGTGGAATCAGGAGGCTGACCAGCAGGTTTTCCCAAATACGGGCATGAAAGTATGAACCGCGCAACAGCCGGGAGCCGCATCCCGGGGAACGATATCCATCGCGCGCTTTGCCGACGCGCGAATCCATTCTTCTTACACTTGAAAGTGAATCGTCAAGCATGCGGAGTGCGATGAAGCTCTTCGAATAGATTTCTGCCGAAACACCTTTCGAAGGGGAGCGTCCAAGACTCCAGTCCCTTTCTGCAGGCACCGGCTGCTACTGACGGACCGCTCCTGACGGTGTTGAAGGGCTTCAAAGGGCTCTTCTGGGTGGACATAGTGCTCATGGTATGAGGACCCGAGGCCTAAGATTTCTCCGGAGCAGTGGAGTCGTGGTCCTCAGCGGCCTCAGCTGTAACTAGTGGGCTTTGCAATGACCTGAGGGTGATGTCAGCTAGGTCGAGCAAATCACCCTCTGCACCCTGAAGCCGCTGCCAGGAGCCGAGCCAGAGAGAAAGCGGCATAGACGGCGACATAAGGCGCACCGGAGAGCTGAGAAGCTGCAGACATTCTGTGAGATGGGATGCATGTGGATTAAAGCGACAACAGCTTGGGTTTTCCTATGCTTCTGGGCTGTGGACTCAAGATGTTCGTTCGGAACCCGAAGAGTGCTCGAATTTCCTTGCGCCTCGCAAGTTTGTTCAGGATCCAGTGATTTGGGTTTGGCGACATGCATAGAACCCTTCGGCTCGGAGCCAACTTCATTTGTCATGTGCCAGGACCCGGATAAGGACAGGTCCAAAAGCCGCGAGGACGGTGAGCCGGGAGCCTGGCAAACACCATGCATATCTTTGTAGTGCTGAGGTTTTGGATGCGAGGTCGAACTTGGGGTCCTTGCCTTCTGGTAGGGTTGGAAGCCAAAGAGCGGCCAGGCAGCTTAGCATGCGCGATTTAATGAGTTGGCAGCAAGTGGTGCTGCTGGTGCGTGATTAGTGCATCTTCACAGGGTAATATGAAGTCGTGTTTCACGAACATGGCAAACGAGATATTGACAGTAGCTGGATTCTTTAGCCTGAGCGCTGAATTTCCTTGCCTAGCTTCAATTGTCTGTTGCTTTCATGGTGCCTGGTCAGTTTCGGTTGTCCGCTTCCTGCAGCGATTAGCAACAGTCCTGAGGCGGAAGCACCGTCGCAGAAGAAGGAGAGGAGAGGGGGACGACCCCGGAAGCTAGCTGCGAGGAATCGGGTTGGTTCCCGGCAACGCCTCCGGCAGTCCCCCGAGCACCAGACACCCCAGCCTCACCCCAATCCCTCAGCCCCGTCCTGCGACGACAAGAGATCACTGCCAGGAGTCGTGCTGGGAATCACCTAGCTGCTTGTAGGGCCATGCCAGAGCTACATAGCAGGCAATGGGCAGTCATTCTAGATCTCTCGTGGCCCGCTTTGTGTCAGCTGCTTTGCAACGGAATCTGTAACCATGAAACATCTGTGGCCCCAACGCTCGCCATCCTACGGAATGCAAGTAGTTTTATTGTGATCCCGTACTTAGCCCAACCACCTGGGACGCGTTATGTCGAGACAGCCTGCCGGCCGCAAGACAAAGCCATCTTCAGCCCAATGTCTGCTGTTCATAGTGTGTAGAGCATTTGTGAGCTTTTGTGGTTGGGACGGGGACGAGGTGTCTTTTTCGCATCGAGCATGTCTATTGTTTCGAGGGGTTCACCCAGACCAAAGGCTGATTCAGGGTTAGGGTTGATGATTTGCTGCTCTGTGTTGGCTGACATGCGCCGCGGCACTGCGCCAAGCCGACCCCGCGATGTTTGGCATCAGCCTGTCGGCATCCTGAGCCACGTGAGTTTGAGCACAACTTGTGCGCAAATTGTTGTTGGCACGCTTCGTTTGGGTTAGGGCACAAGGTTTTGTCAAAGGGACAAGGTTCCACTTCAAAATCAATGCCTTCTCTGCCAAACCTGAAATTCCGTAGACTGTAGACATGACACCGCCTCCTGCATGCGAAGTTTACCATCCGGAGCTAAGTCGAAGAGGCGCTGGTGGGCCTGGAGCTGACCCGAAACGTTCGAATGCCATTCAACTTTGGACTGAATGCAGCTTGGGGCAGTACCCCGAAATGGGGCCACACAGCCTGCACCTCCCAGCAACCGACTCCCCAAGACCCTTCCCGAAACATTTGCGCCGACAGCTTCAAGATTAGAGCCTCTTCGAGCGTCCACAAGCGACTGTACAACAGCTGGTAAGCGCTTTCAGCTAGCCTCCTTCCTGCATGGCTGGCGCCATGGAGCAGCCGCTCTACGACGAGTATGCTGTCAGACTCTGAACCCAAGTTTCACTGGAATTTGGACGCTGTGGCTTTTCCAGTCTACAGTGCTGTAAAGCGCTTGGCAGCATTCCAGTCTCCAACACACACGAAACCCCAACTTTTCGACAATGCCAATAAAAAGCCAGAACCCAAGAAGCCCTACGTAATACAGTAGAGTCTGTCCAAAGCGAACCAAAGAAAGCTTTGGAGCATTCAGGTTCTTAGGTTCTTCATCCCGAACTCCGCCGACACCCAAAGCAGATTCCTGAAAGCCCCGCCTATGGCAAAACCAAAGCAAACATCGGAACGCTACCAGGACTTGCATGCATGGCATGGACCAGAAAGCCTCTTCTACTTTTTTCTGGATTATACCTGGCATTTCCCAAAAACATGAGCAAACCCATAAAGCGTCCTTGATTTACGGCCGCCCCGTTGCTGCCCAGGCTCAGCTGGCCATGGACCAGGAGTACAAGCAGCGAAACGCCCACTACGAGACCGAGGCCTCTCCAAGGGGAAGGGGGTGGCGGTGTGTTTCCTGACAGCGTGTGGGTGCTTGGGTTCTGAGGGTCTAGGGCGTTGGACTCCAGGGTGGAGCATTGAGCTTTGACTTGTCAAGGCTTGGAGATGCAAGATGCGAGCAGGTGATGCAGGCTTAAAGGCCCTGTGGCTCCCGGGACAACGGCCCTTAGCCTTAGTTCGAACTGCGCATTTATTGGTCGTGAAGGCTACATGTGATCGAGAGTCCGGATGGGTGCTGAAGAGTCTGGTTAAAGCCTTCCACAACTGTGGATTCTGCTGACCTCGACTGCTTAGGCGGATAAAGTTGCTTACAAACAATCGCTGGTCCCGTAGCCCGACTTCCCTGAACGCGACACCAGTGACAAGGTTCACTTTCAGAAGTGCTATGGCGTCATGGGCGAGCTCTTTGAAGCGCACAATTATCTCAGGCCTGATCTTACTCGGAGTTGCTTCATCAGAAAATCTCAAGCCCTCACCCCGAGATTGTCCGGCGCGCTAAAGGCGCATACGCAACAAAAATAAGGCTCACACAGCAACACACGCATCTGAGGTGCACACGGCGTCCGGTTTAGTGTGCAAAAACAAACGTCGACGCACTTCACGGCTCGAAGCCGGAGGGTCTAGGGTAGGGTTTAGTACGCAAAATCCGACGTGTTCGCAGCTCACGGGACGAAAACGGAGGGTCTGGGGTAGGAGGGTTTACGGCTGGCATACGCTTCCCATGCAACACGTCTTCCCACTCAACACCTCCTTTTAGGGTTTACGGCTTTGCCAGCCAGGCGGCCTTCCTACCCAACAACTCCTTTGGGCTTAAGGGCTTGCCAGCTCCTTCCCACCCGGCAGCTCCTTTTAGGGTCTCAGGCTTTGCCACGCAGCATCTGCTTTCAGGGCTTACGGCCTAGGCCTTCCCAGCCAACTTCAGGGTCTTAGGGTTTCATCTTCGGGAGGACTTTAGGGTTTGCACACTCGGCAGGAATTTAGGGTTTGCTCCGCCTTCCTCGCTTTGGGGTTGCGTTTGGGGCTTGCTCCGGCTTCCCTGCTTTAGGGCTGCATCTTCGGAAAGAATTTTGCACTTCTTGTTTTAGGGTTTGCTCTGCCTTCCTTTGGGGGTTTCATCTTCGTGGAGGGGAAGATTCAGGTTATGATTTTCAAGAATGTGCGCAAGCTTCCTTCCTTCCTTCCTTCCTTCCTTCCTTCCTTCCTTCCTTCCTTCCTTCCCCTCCCTTGCTTCCTTCCTTCCCCTCCCTTCCCCTCCCTTCCTTCCTTCCCCTCCTTTCTTCCTTCCTTCCCCTCCTTCCTTCCTTCCTTCCTTCCTTCCTTTCTTGCTACTCGCTCCTCTCCTTCTCTCCTAGTTGTCTTGGTTTCTTCCTGCCTGTCTCCCTTCATGCCTTCCTTCTTTTTTCCCCCGTCTGTGCCTGTCCCATTACCCTGCCGCACCCCCACGCCGGAAAACCACTGCACCGCAAGCGTGCAAGCTCGACGAAAGGGGCACGTGTACGTCAGACGCAAATCGCGCTTGCAGATTAGGTGCGACGCCTTCACTCCCATGAAGAACCCAAGTTTGGAAAAAGCGAAGTCTCCGACGCTCGGTTTGACGTCCTAGGCTCGACAGTGCACCCTTGGCCCAGGGACTTGGTTCCGGAGAAGGGCTTCAAGTTCCTCGATTTGGGTTGTGCACGCATCCCAGAAGGAATTCGGAACTTTTGCAGCGGTTGGTTTGGGGATGTTTGGCCCGGGCTTTAGGGTGCAAGCGCACTGAGGTAAGGCCTCAAGCTTCTCTTTGCCATCTTTTGCTGAATCCAGTGCACTTGCAATGATTTTACTCGCATGGGCAGCTGCTCTGATCCCGGAAGCTAGAGCGGCATACGGTATTTGCGTAATTAGAGATTCAGCTAGACTTGAATTCTGAGGTGCTCTTCCGTGACCTTTAAGACTGTGGGACTTTGAAGCGATCCCCCAAAGCCAGGAAACGCTTGCACCGTCGTTGGAGCTCTCCAGATTCCTGTGTCCTTTACGTTGTCTCTTGACACCTCGAGGCTCCTGGAGGTTTCAGCTCCTACCTCCTGGAGGACCCAAGGCTCGAGGGAAGTTCGGTTCCTGTCCATACATGTTGGCAACTCGTGTCGGGTCGAGCGTTCCCGTTGCACGAGGTGTCGCATGGGCTTTGGCGTTACTCTTCCGTCGACTGTGGGAGGGTTTCCAATGCGCAGAGCACTCAGGAGTCTGTTCCAGAAGGAGCAGCACGGCAGTAGAAGTATCTCCCAACCCGAAAGCCTGGAATGGAGGGAACAAGAGAGAAGCGGAGCAGGATTCATCCGGTTACCATGTTCCAACTTCTGTTCTCTACGCTCCTCAGGCTGGTAGAAGTGAGTATCCCAGAGTACCTGATTGCTCCCTGGTGTCTACCATGCAGCCGTCGTACCCTCCTTTCTTAGATGCTTGATTCTCAAATGGCATGTCCTTTCAGGCTAGGTTCAGGGTCTTGTGTTTCAGTTGGTTGGGCAGAATCACATCAATAGACATGAGAGGCTCTGAACTGTGATATCGAACTGTCTAAAAGCCTGGGGGCGTGTCTTGCTTGTGGAGCCATCACACATGCCAAAATGGCATACGCTTGGAGTTTGGCCCACGCAGCCGTGTTTGTTGCTCCTGAACCCAGAACTTGCTGTCGCTTCAGCAATCGGGATCTGAGGTTTGCACGTCACAGGTCTGAATGGCCCTCATGTCAGCGAGACAGCTCTAGACGAGAAGCTCTAAGTTTGGAAGCCACATTGCTTATGTGCGACTCGACGAGGCACGAACCTCAAAATTTCAGGCCTTGTCGTGACGGCGTGCAACACAAGAAACGGGGTCCGAGTACAATACGATCAAGATTCCGTCCTCGTCAATCTTCAACCCTGAAATGTAAACCTCTTGGCCCTAGTCCCTGGAAGTCTTGGCTGTCTGTTCCAGGTCTGCGGTCGCCCAACTTCCTGCTGCAACAAGGAGAGAGCCGGTGTCAGCTACTCATGCCGCATGTTTTGAAGTTCACAATCCCTGCTTGCAGGTATCGCGAGAGAGACCCTCACATTTTTAAACCCCGCGGTTTTTCTGCATCGTAGAGCCAGGAGACCTGTTTGAGCTCGGGCCGCCGGGACCTCGAAGCATCCATTGGATGATGCTGAGATGTTGTCCTGGAGCTGAGCTGAACAAGGTGAAAGGACGCTGCAAAGCAGTGTACTACCACAGTGTACCAAATGTTGCAACTTTGTTATTTGAGCAGATCCAGGCTTTAGGCGCCAGAGATTTCCGAAATTAGATCAAGCAGCATGGGCAGCACTAGCTGAGTTTCTTGGGTTAGAGTGGTTGGGGTGTGGAGGTTCGAGATCAGGAACTATGACTGTTGCTTCAAGATGCAGGTCCGGGTGCAACATCTCGGTCTTGAGTGAGCGAGCTTGGATGGTTGCAGAGTGGCTTGCGCGCACAATAAATTGAGAAACCCTGCGACAATTGAGTCGCATCTCCACATGGGACAAGGTGGTTCAGATGTTGCTAAACGTACTAGCTTCTTGCAGCTCCACGTGCAGCAGCAAGCACATCAGTGCCGGTACTTGGAGAAAAGGAGGACTGAGTAAGTAGATATAGAGTTATAAGTACCCTAAAAGGGATCCTAGTTTGGGTTATGGTACTTACAGTCTGTAAAATAGCTAGTTACTAAGTCCCCGACCCTCCAAGTAGATGCCAGACGCCAGACCACCGTACGAGAGCAGCTCAGGGCGGACCTTGTCGCCAAGGAAGTTCACATTTGCATTTGTCCGCATCCCAGATGTTTCGGAGAGGAGCGTTGAGAAGCTAGGACTTTGTTCAGCAGTACTTAGACTTCTGAGTCCGCATGCCGAATGATGCATGCCAGGCTGCTCTCGCTGCTTGCACACATGGTGCCTCACGGGATCCATCATCGTTGGAGAAGTGGTTGCGCAAATCCGAATGTAGGCAAACCAACGCATATCAAACGAGTTTCGGGATGTCCCTTCTTTCTTTTTCTTCGAGCCCGCTCAGATCTGTCCGAAGCTGTTGACTGGCCGCAGGTGATGCGCAGTACATGCGCAATGAGGTTGCCTGGGATGAGAGGCCTCCATTGGAATACACGTTGTACACGAGAGTCACTCTATCTGCTATAGGGGCCAAATAATTACTCCATTCGAGAAACACGGGCCACCATAGCGTTCCTTTCTGCAAATAAAAGGGCCTGTTGCGCGCCTATTCACGAGGTGTCGAAGAGCTTTGGATATGTTGGCATGGGTCGGTATTGCCAGGTACACAGGGGTGCGTTGCCGAAGCCTCTCGGTAGCACGAAGGATCGTTGCACAGAGTGCGCATGGAGCCATGGACCTTCAACGCCTCAGTTCCGCCATCCTTGAAAGTACCCGTCAAGTCGCAGCAAATTGTTTTGCAGATTTGTTTGGACCACATGTTTGCAAGGGTTGCGCAATTTCGTTTTCGATATTTTGACTTGATTAGTGTTCGCATGCAGAACTTGGAAGTAGCATGTTCCAACGTTTGAGCCCGATTGTTCAGTGGAGTTTCAGATGTTGGGCCCCTAGGCTCTCTGCTTGAAGTCATGTTGGGTGTCTCAAGCTGGGGCTCTCCAGGAGCGGCTTAGAATGATGTGTTTGCATGTTTGTATGTTGGAGGTTCGAGACTAGGACTTTGGAGTTCATACCGGCTGAAATTCAAGGTTGTGATGGTCTTTGACGGAAAGCCACAAGCTGTAGGATGTTGGCATGCTGCTTATTCTCGGCATTCAGGATCGTGCTTTTGACATATCTGAGGCTGGGGCTCAATCTCAGGGATTGGACCGGCATCCCCCAACTCAAAGTCGCAGTAGCTGCGCCCCAGAGTTGACGTGGAGCCCTTGAAGCTGAGACCCTTAAGACTCTAAAGGCTTGGGGCTCGAGCCCAAAAGTAGCCTGAAGGCATCCTAAGCGCTTCCAGCGGGTATAGGCGCACAACATCGCGAACACATGTTTTCAAATCCTGAACTATGCAGAAGCCTGCCTAGGTAAGCAGCACGGCGTTTGGGCACTGCTAATCAAGCAGTTCTGGCTTGGTCTGACAAGGCGCATTTGGGATGCAGAGTCGCAGGATTCTCCGTGCATGCAGCAGGGTTTTTTCAGGCGGTGAATCCCTGCTTCGAAGGCTCCTTGCCGGCGGCATGCTGATTTTCCGCTTCGGCTGGAGAGATGGACCTCCCGAGGAGCGAACGATTCGAGGGCGAGGGTTCAGCTCACAGTCCCAGCTTGCGCACTAAAGACATTGCTTCTGACATTTAGCTGCGAAGCAAGCCTTGCATCGAAAGCCTCCAGAACAAACAGGACCTGGCCACGGTTTGGTACAAAAAGCGTGGTGCACAGTTGCCACGTGTGGGAAGACTCCACTGTTTCTGAAGTCAGGGTGGAGGGATCTGCTATCGTGGGAAGCTGATCACATCAAGGCCCATCCATGCATTGGGGCAGTAGCGTTTGTCGTTGAGGCGCACAGCCTTTTTTTGGATGCAGAGATTACGTGATTATGTGGTTGTTGTGCACCAATGGGGATCATGGTTGGAGATTGTGATGCTACTCATTCCTGGAAGAAGGTACTTAAGGACCTAAGTTTATAACCCTGATTCCTGGCAACCTCTGGCATGGGTTCAAATAATTAAATCTGTGGAAAATCTGTGAATCCAGGGGTCGCAGAATCTGTGAAAAATCTGTGAAAAATCTGTGAATCCCGAAATCGGACCTCCAGAATCTGTGAAAAATCTGTGAATCCCGAAAAGCCATGTT